TCCTAGGTTGTACAAGCAAGGTATCAGAGCAAGCAAGGAACAGCAAGCCGCTAAGCTCCTCCGCTGTCTTTGCTCCATTCCAGAATCCTTTCTTGGCTTCCCTCGCTGACAGACTGTATCCTGTAAGCCAAATCAAGCCTTTCCTCCCCAACTTGATTTAGATCAGGATGTTTAGTCACAGCATCAGAAAAGCCACTAGAACACGGGGGACTCTCCCTAAAAGTTCACTTGGGGACACAGTTTTGCCTTAACGCACCTGCATTCAAATCCAGTTCAGGCTTGATGAGCTTACCCTCAGCTAGGATGTACTAGGAATACTTTTGGACAGAAACTGTCAGAATTTGATAGAGAAGAGAAACATATACCACTGTTCAGAGAGGGGTGTAGGTATAGCCTGACAAATGTGGGCTCTGAGGTTGTTAGTTGCATTGTTCAGAGAGAGGCATGTGTCTATAGCATATGTAGGTAAAGGAGCTAGGCTGCCAAGAGTGTTATTAGAAGGTAGGTATGAACAACCCAAATCAGCTAGAGTCCTGGGTTACTACACTGTTCCCTGTGCTTCTCCACCTCACCCTTCACAAGGCAGGAACAGTGCCACCATGCTGGGAAAACTCGCAGGATCTCTCACAGTGCCATTTTAGAGAGGTGAGAGGGCTCTGGGGCCCTCTGTACAAAGTCCTCAGAGGTGTCCTTGTTACCTGGAGCTGTTGGCTTCAGAATGTGGGTCCTGACAACCCCCGGCAAGCCACATTCAGGCTTGCAGTAGGGTGAGCTGGGACAGTGGTGATGGCAGAACTACACCCTAACCCAGACTGTCCTGCCGCGTGCCTCTTGCCTTCTACTCAAACCAAAACCTCAATTAGGACCCAGAGGGACACAGGAGGACACAGGACCTCTTTGTTCTTCTTCCCAATGTGGCATATCAGTCAAATCTCTCTCTCTCTCTCTCTCTCTCTCTCTCTCTCTCTCTCTCTCTCTCTCTCTCTCTCTCCTTTGTACCATTGCTTCTTTGTTTAATTGACTTGTTGAGGACAATTCAAGACAAACCAAGCCTGGTTTGGGATCTGTCCAGGCTCAGACTCTGATCCTAATAAATATGGTAACACATGACACACCCACCCAAGTCTATACTTGGGGTCCTGACATGAGGTTCAGGTTTAAATAGGGAGCAAGAGCTCTGTATAACCATGCCTGGTCAAGGTGTGGTGGCAAATATCATCGTCTCCAGTCCAGTCTCTCCTACAAGGGGGTCTAACCAGTGTTCAGAACTGTGGGAAATCTCTTCCCAGAGGACAGGTTCCCCGCCTCGCTGACAGCAGCTCCCCCTTCTCTATCACGAGACTCCCGGGAAAGTCCAGTTCCCTCCATTGTTTCAGTAGTCTGATCTCCAAAAGGAGAGAGGCATACATGTCTTCATTCCTGCCAGGATGCCTACACCCTTTCCTGGGAATGTGTAGTCCTTTTCCTAGGCAGCGTGGTCTGGAGAGCCCGTTGGGTTTCAGTGCCCAAACACAGGAAGGTCTGTCTTTGTATGGCTGCCATGGGAAGACTGAAGGCTGGCGACTGGTAATGCCCTCACCCAGCCTACTGCAGTATTCCACAGTCGGTCCCAAAGTGATGAGCCTTCCTCATAGACAGAGCCAACCCGCAGTTGCTTCCACTGGCAAGTAACTTGCAAGCAAAACAGAAGCACTATTAATTTTTTTAAAACTATACTAGCCATTTTCTGTTTGCTTTCTACTGTTTGTTCGTTTTTATTACAGTATTTGGGGAAAAATAGAAAAGCTAGTGTTATTTTTAACTTTTATTGCATTTTTACTTGTGTGTGCGCGCGCGCGCGCGTGTGTGTGTGTGTGTGTGTGTGTGTGTGTGTGTGTGTGTGTGTGTCTGCCAAAGTGCACAAATAGAGGTCAGAGGACAACCTGTGGGAGTTGGCTCTCTCCTTCCACCCAGTGAATCCCAGGGACCCAACTCAGGTCATCAGGCTTGGTACCTTTACCCTCTGAGCCGTCTCACTGGTCCTCAGGTATTGTTTTTCTTTTCAGGGGACAGTCTACTTGGTCTGACACAGAAGGAAGGCCTTGCGACATTCAAGTTTTGAGGATGCCGCACTCTTGAGTCTCAGCATCTGTCCTACTTACAGCTCCCATTGGTGTTTCCAGATCTTTCCACTTTCTGAGCTTCATTCTGGAAATTTTGACAAGGCTGTTCTTTGAGTTCATCCCTGTCAGTAAGTGTCAGAGAATGATGTTATTTCCTCTGAGACTTCTGTTTGACATAGAATAGAAGTGGGTGGAGAGCCCAAACCTACTTCCTTAAATCTATGAAGAGATTATATTCTCAGCCAAGCTTTCTTGAACTTCCCAAACCCCTTTGCACATCTCCTGGGATGCTTTCTCTCTAAGTCTCTCTCTTGCAACTGTGCTCCCTGTCAAGGGTAAGGATGGGACGGTGTGGTCCATGGGCAGGCGTCCCTTATGCTGCTTGGAAACTATTTGAGTGTGTGATGGAAGCCTGAGCAGCAGAGGACTTAGCTTGTGCTCTGAGACAGCTCACACTAACACACTGCTGTGTTTCAGGGGCTTTTAAAATCAACCATATTGGGGCACAGTTGGTGCACAATAGATCACATATTTAAAATCTACAATTTGATAAGGTTTTGGCACATATAACTGTTAGTGAAAACACCAATGTCCAAATAACAATGTACCCACCAGGCCCCTCAATGTCCTTGTTCTCTTTGTAAGGTATCCCAGACCCCTCCTATCTAAGCATCCCTCACAACCACTGACTTCAGCCACCAAGGATTAGTTTGTGTTTTCTAAAATTTCTAAAATTTTGAAATAAAAATAAAAATGAACATAAAGGAAATTAAAAAGTATAACTGAGCAGAAGTCATCTGTTGCTCAGCCTCTTAGGACTTCATAAATGAAGCTGTGTGGTCCTGTAGTCTGCTACTGTTTCTCCATCCATCTGTTGAGGGACAGGTGGATCGGTGGCAGTTGACGGCTCTACAAATAGAGCTTTCATGAAGGTCGGTGTACAGGTGTGTGTACAGGCATGTTTTCATCTTCATTTTCCTTGGGTAAGCATTTAGAAGTGGGATGACAGGTAACTATATGCTTAGCTTTTTAAGAAACTTCCATCTTTTCCAAACTGGTTGTGCCATTTTGTATTCCCACCAGCAGTGTACCAGAACTCCAGTTTTAGTTACTTGGAGATGCCACCATCAAGTTCTTCCTTTGTGTGGTGGGCGTGTGGTGGGGGGTGATGTGTGTGCGCATGCCTGTGTGTACATAGCAAGCACATGTGTGGAAGTCGGAGGGCAACTCTTCGATTAGATCTCTCCTCCCCCCTGTATGTGGCTTCCAGGGCCTGAACTCAGGCCACCAGGCTTACACAGCAAGTGTCTTCACTGAGCCCTCTCGATGGCTTTTTCTTTTTCCTTCCTTCTGTTATGATGATGACTGTCATTGACCTGTGACATGGGAGAATCCTTTGTCCAGGGGAGGATTCCTGGGTGAATGCTCTCCTCATTCTCTGAACCTGTCTGCACTTGCCTCCTCCCCTTGGAGGCCTGTAGCCCTAAAAGAAGAGCTGTGGCCACGAGCCCTCAGCCCAGATGGAGTGTGGAGTGCAGATCTGAACTGAAAGAGGGGTCACTCGCAGATCTCGGGTGCTCAGAGAGACATGTCACCCTGGGCAAAGAGCTGGCCTTTTGCTGACTGGCAGGTGGGAGGCCCGCGCTGTGTAACTCAGCTACCAAAGGAAGTGGGAAATTATTTGTAGTCACAGGCTAATGGGGCCTGAGCTATGTGTTATATTTCAAAGGTCACAGTGCTCATTAAATCCAATGTTTCTAATGTAGATCTAATGTACACCACAGTGCTCATTAAATCCAACTCTTACATCTACTCTTGTTAAATTTCCTAAGACACCACAGCCTTCGTGGTATAGTCAGAGGCAGGTAACTCTAAAACCTTGGAAGACTCCCGGGCTGGAAGAACCAGGGAAGCTTGGGTACTAGTCAAGAAAGCCTAGCATGTTCCCACAGGACCAATTGTGCCTTACCTTTGGTTTCCACAACCTCCATGCAGTCGATTCTTCTCATGACCTGAGGGAGCATGTACCTGGAAAGCTGTTCCCACGCTAATGTTTGCTTCTCATTAGGAATGCAGTCAAACTGGGCTTAAGGACTTTTCTTTTTGAGATAGGGTCTAATAGGCCCAGGCTGGCCTTGAACTCACTGCGTAGCCAAGGATGACCTTGAACTTCTGATTTTCCTGCCTCCACTTCTTGAGTTGAACTAAAATTAAGATGTACACCGCAGAGCTGGACATGATGGCACACACCTTTAACCCCAGTACTTAAGAGGCAGAGACAGGGAATCTCTGAGTTCAAGGCCAGCCTGGTCTATAAAGAAAGTTCCAGGACAGCCATGGCTACATAGAGAAACCCTGTCTTAAAAAAAAAAAAAAAAAAGCACACAACCATACTAAGTCCACGCTGTGGTGGGCATCAAAGCCAGGGGTGCAAGGTACCAACTGAACTACACCCCAACCTTCAAACTGGGCTTTAAAAGTACATATTCATTTGTTGAACAGAAAAACTGGGGTTGGCGAGGTCTTGCCATGTCGCCCAGGTTACCTTTGCATTGGTGGGAATCCTCCTACCTCAGCCTCCTAGGGTACTGGGATTACAGACATACGCCATCCCCCTGGGGTGACCATTATTGAAAGGTTGGCACACTTGGATGACTCACAGGCTCTGGGCCAATGATGTCTGGGGTTTGCGCTTCAGCTCTGCCACCTTGTAGTTAAGTGACATTGGACAAATTCCTGAGCCTCAGTCTCTTTCTTAGAGATATGGTACTAACACCACCCACACTGTAGACAACTAGCAAGGAGGGGGAGTGGAGGACACCTTTATAAATAGCTTAGCCCTGTGCCCCAGACAAATTCAATGCTTACGAGTAAATACTCACTAGCCAGCCCTCTTTCTTCTTATATTCTATTTTTATACAAACATGTAAAAAATTACATAAAATAATACAAAGAGACAAGGATCCATGTTTATGTATCCTGCCTTTGATGCAAACTACTGTAGAGTTCAATGGGCTGGTCACGACCTCCCCTTGGCCCTGCTCGCTGGGAGCCCCCACCACTTTGAAACGGGGTGTCACTGCAGCGTGGGAACAGGCTGCAGAGACAGCTGGCAAAGGCCTTGTCAAGAAGCAAACAGAGGAGAGGGTTAACACAGCAGTGGGTGGTGGCGATGAGCTGTGTGACTTGAACACTTGCGTCCAGGCGGTAGCTGCTCTTCTCATCCTGCAGGGACAAGTGTTCCTGGAACTCGGACAGGAGGAGCACAACATTGTAGGGTGCCCACATCAAAAGGAACACACCCATTATGACAAAGGCGAGCTTCCGAAGGTCGTTCTGCCTCTCCCTGAAGGCCTGCGCTTTCCTCCTGTGTCCACAGCAGAATATAAAAACCACCAGAGGAAAACCAAGAACCAAAACGTTCATCTTTAAAGTCAGAAAATGCTTCCAGAATGGCTCTTCAGTTGGCAAAAAGTGAGGTTTGCCAAAGGCGCACTTGTGTTTCTGTCTTTCCATCCGAAGCTGATAAAACACAGCTTCGGGCAAAGCAAGTACAATAGCTGCGGCCCATGCCAGGACGCTTATAGCAACACTCCTGGGCACCTTCGTGAGGATGGAGGCCAGCCTCCCTTGGGAAAACACCTTGTACCCTTGCACGAGGAGAAGGATGTTGAAAAGTGTCTCGCTGTATAAGCCGGTGGAGTGAAGTCCAACAAGAACTTGACAAGTCCTATTGCCAGGACTTTCCCCTTGTGCAGCAGTGTGTGCCCAGAATGGCAGGGGAAGCAGGAAGCACACATTGGAAAGCGCCAGGTTAAGAAAGTAGATGTTCCGCACATTCTTGAGTCCTTTGTATCTCACTAGGATAAACACAGCCAGCGCGTTGGTGAGGAGACCCACAGCAAACACACTGCAGCAGATCTGCAGTACCTGCTGGGCAGAGAGGAACTCGGGGGTGAGGGCTTGGTCTATCTCACTGTTGTCCAGGTCATCCTCTATGAGGACATCATACTCATCCTCTGGGGACGCTGTGTAAAAATCCATCTCGGGCTGCCCTGTGGGGAAACCAGAGATTATGTTTCCCTTCCCTACGGCAAAAGATTGAAAATAAGCATGCCTCCACTCCCCAGATTGGTGGCTGTACTCGGTCTACCCATTAAGCACCCAGGGACTGAGCTGGTAATGAGACAGATCTGCCAGGTACAAAAGGAGGCAGGGATATTACAGTCGCTTAGATTCTTTTGGTTAAAATCAGACCCGATTAGTAGGAGATAGGATCTAAGGAAACAGAGTTAAAAACAACCAGAGAAGTTAGTGCTCCTCCTACCTCCCAACTATTTAAAAATATTTCCTTACCTTGCTCACGGCTTGAAATGAAACAGCGAAACAGCGTTCTTGGGGCAGGCTGCTTGATGTTTTTCTCTCAAGGGATATAAACAGTTGTTTGCAAAAGTGAAACCCCACTGGTCAAGCACGTGGACAAACTGGCGAGATAAAGATAACCACTTGACGGAGTTCCCAAGGGTGGGGAAGGGTGCAGCCCCACGATCTACCATCCAGGGGGCTGTGGGAACGCTGGGGTCAGAGAAACGCCACTTCCTTCTGAGCAGGCTGCTCCTGACCCCGAGGAGCTGGAGACAGCGCGCACTGTTTATCCCTCTGAGGCTCTCCCCTTCCAGGCACAGCTTTCAAGCGCCAGCTGGAAAGAAGTTCTGAAGCCGCTCTCAGGAGCCTCTGTCAGCCTCGGAGAAACTGAGACGTTGTTTTCGTCTCCCCCTCTCCCAGCGTCCCATGTTTGATTCCAGGTACCTTTTAGCCAGCTGTCCTCCAAGCCGCCTCAGATAAGGGCGCTTAAGTCAAGCCTGCTGGCAGTGATGATAAGAGGGTGATGTCAGAAGCTGAGCTGTGCCGCCCCGCCCCCGCGGCTCTGACTTAAGTTCTCTTGAGTAGAAATCGGCTTCCAGAGCACAAAAGTGTCCATACTCACCAGAGTCCCGACCCTCAAGGCAGCTGTCACCGGCACTGGTGAAAAGCCGCTCTGCTGAAGCAGGCCACTAGTGACCTGCAGGGGAAACACAGTGAGTGGTGGGTGCGGGCTTTTGTTTGTTTGTTTTCTCTGCCATGCGTTTTTGCTGATGGATCGAGTGCTACGAGATGATTTGGGGAACATGGGAGCTAGAGTGATATCAGTAGGCAAGGAAATTGGGAACAGAGTGGGGCAGAGAAGTGGTGTTGCTGAATGCCGGGCTGTTGTGGAAATCCCTCCTGAGGAAAGCAGAGAGTGTCGCAAGCAGCCGGAAGGAAGCAGTTAGTGCTGGGGCATTTGGCATGGCTGACCCTGCTCAGGGAAAGTCCGGGGAGGCAATCCTGTGTGAGAAGGCGTGGGGCGTGATCAGGTGGGAGATACTGTGAGGTCAGGCTTAGCCTCACGTGGAGGGTGGGGATGAAGACAGGAAATCGACAGTTGCCTGGCCTTGAGTGGTGGGGATAGGGCAGAGGAGAAAGGCACATTGAAGGTAGGGATCATAAGAAGAAAAACCTGAAAGAGCTGGGGAAAAAAATGTGTGAACTGCCCTCAGGCCAATGGCTCTGTGTAGCCATGACTGAACTAATCTGGGACAGTGGATGTCTCTGATTTAGGCACATCCTTTGCATTATCAAAAACGTGTCTGACACACATGATAGAGAAAGTGTACCTATCAAAATAGAAATAGATAATGAGGGACTAGTAAGAGAATGTAAAAAGAACAGAACCAAGATAAACACAATTGAGCATTAAGCTCCAAGCATCCCGGCAGAGAGGGAAACATGGCTTGGTTGTAGTGAGAACCGAGACTGGAAGAGCTCCCCAGTAAGGCTCCCCCGCTGGTGGGGAGCATCTAAGGGTGAATGGGAATCACCAGGATGTGTCAGCTGTCATCCTCCTCCTGAGGCCTCTGCCCTATGCAGCGAGATGCCTCAGAGTCACATGGCGACACCTGGCCAGTTCAGAGTTCACTCCCAGACCGAGGACAGACTCACAAGCGTACACACTGCTCATTAGATGGGAAAGTGGGTGGGGACAGCAGGTACCCTGTACATTTCCTGTCACACAGTGGTGGGAAATTGAAATCTCTTGAGGAAAAGGAGTAGTCTGTAAACTCAGGGTCACTCCGACTTCTCCATCAGTGTGGTCTTCACTTTGAGTGCTGTTTTATTTTGGTTTGATTGCCAGCATTCTACCTGTTCACACTCAGGCCATAGGATTGTTTGTTTTTCAAACTGGCATACAAAACAGTGTGTTGCAGTATGACATAGTCATATACAGTGTCACTGTCCTTTGCTCTTCTCCACCTCTCCCCGTCCCTTCTTGTTGGTCCTCTTTATCCCCCAGGCTGTCTCTCCTTCTGTCTTCATGTCACGGATTCTATCGCCCTCTCTTTCTCCTGTTCTTCCCTTAAGAACTCTTCCTCTTCTCTCATGGCCTCCTTTCTAGTCTCATATCACACTCACACACACACACACACACACACACACACACACACACACACACACTTTAGGTCTAGATTCCACGTATGAGAGAAAATACGCAAGATTTCTATTTCAGAGTTTGGCTTAGTTGACTTTACACCATGATTTTCAGTTTCATTTTCCTGCAGATGTAATAGTTTCCTTTTCCTTGATGGCTGAATAAAACTCCACCATGCCTACAGATCAGTTTCCTTATCCATTCATCTGTTGATGGGCATCTAGACTGGCTCCATTTCCTAGATGTCAAGAATAGTGCAGCAGTGAATGTGGTTGTGCAAGGGTCTCTGAGGTCTGGTGACAAAGTCGGTTGAGTATCTACCCAAGAGTAGCACAGCTGGGTCACGTGGTAGTTCTATTTTTAGGGTTTGTTTTTGTTTGTTTTGAGTAACTTCCACTCTGATGTTGTTTTTTGTTTATTTTTTTGCATAGGACCACATGCTGATCAAGTGCTCTATCCCTGAGCCCCGCCCCTGGCTCCGCCCCTCCCCCCGCCCCGCCTCCTGCTGTCACACTGATTTCCATCTTGGCTCTACCAGCTTACATTCACACCAGGAGTGGAAGGCTCCTGTCTCCTCACATCGCACCAGCATTTGTTATTGTTTGTTTTCTTTAAGGCCATGGGAGAGGAGAAAACACATCTCTAACCCAGAGGTCTGAGGAAAGCTTGCTTTGGCATCTGAAAGCACACGGAGCCATTGTCTCCGTCACCTTTCCATCACTGTGACACATGATATTTGAGGCAATGAAGTTTTCTTTGACTTTCAGAAGTGTCAGTCCGTGGTCACTCAGCCCATCGCCTCTGGGACTGTGGTGGGAGCACATGGCAGAGAAAGCTATTGGCCCAGTGTTAGCTGGGAGGTGAAGGGGGAGGGGATGGGGTTGGGACCCTAACAATCCCTCCAAACACAGTCACCAACCACTCCACAATCTTCCTCTAGGTTCTACCTTCTAAAGGTCCTACCGCAAAGTACCCAGACTAGGGAGTCTTTTTTACACACGAGGCTTGAAGTGGTCCTTCCTGAAGCCACAGCATCCTTCCTTGTGAAACCAAAGCACCTTCTGAAGTTTGGTATGAGGCTCACAAGAACTTAGCGTTGAAGGTCTGAGTTCCTCCTAATCACTGTAACTCAACCCTGCTGTCAGTCTAAGACGCTATGACCACAAACTTACTCTCCCCTACATGTAAATCACTCATTCATTCAAAAGACATTTGTATGATCACATTCTAGGACCTGTGTAGCCCTGGCTAACCTGGAATTTGCTAGATAGACTAGGATAGCCTGCTGTTGTCTGTTTTTGCTCTTTTGGGAGCCCGCCACCCAGCTCCCAAATAAATCACACATGGAGCTTGTTCTTACTTATAAATGCCTGGCCTTAGCTTGGCTTGTCTCTTGCCAGCTTTCCTTAACTTAAATTATCTGGTCTACCTTTTGCCTCTTGGCTTTTCCTGTTCTCTTGCTTCTGTAAATATTATTCTTACTCCATGGCTTGCTGTGTAGCTGGGTGGCTGGCCCCTGGAGTCCTCCTCTTCTCTGGTTACTTCTTCCTCCCTCTCAGATTTCTCCTTCTATTTCTTCCTTCTGCCTACCAGCCCCACCTAACCTTTCTCCTGCTTCACCACTGGCTGTTCAGTTCTTTATTAGACCATCAGGTGTTTTATACAGGCACAGTAGCAGAGCTTCACAGAGTTAAATAAATGCAACATAATATTCTCCAGCACTGGCCCTGAACTTAGATCTGCCTGCCTCTGCCGGTGTTGGGATTAAAGGCATAAACCACCATCCTGGCTTAACTCTTGACTTTAAAAGCAAAGAATACAGTGCACCAGTCATCTCTGGAGAAGGGTCCTCGGACATCTTCCAAGTCCTCTTCTTTGGGTGCTCCATGTCAGCCTAGAGTCAATGGCTGCTCCCTGCATTGCCATTCCTGTGTTCTTTAGAGTCCTCCTTATTATCTTCAGTAGCCCCATTCCCTCGGTTAGTAATCCTTTATATATAATGTCTGCTGTTCAAGTTGTAAGTGTGGTTTCTGGTTGACACATTATATTCAGCTCATTGACAGGCTGGAGAACACCAGGAAAAAGAGAGCTGAAGTATGTCAGTTTTCAAGGCTCTATCTTGATAATGAGAGATGAATATTAGTTGCTTAGAAATATGATAACTTAATCTATTCCTTTTAAAAATCTGCTTTCTCGTATTTATCTATCTATCTATCTATCTATCATCTACAATTTCTGTCTACTACCTATTCATCTATTAGATACCTATCATTTATCATCTCTATAACTATCATTTATCTATTTACTTATCTATCTATCTATCATCTACAATTTCTATCTATTACCTATTCATCTATTAGATACCTATCATTTATCATCTATCTATAACTATCATTTATCTATTTACTTATCTATCTATTCCTGAGCAGCAGACTGGAAGAGTAAACAGTCATGTGTTATAATTTCAGGGTCGTTTGTTTGTGTCCCAGAGAGGGGACAAGATAAGGGCAAGTAGTGGAACTTCAAGATCATGTCATTTTCTAGTCTATTGACATGTGCCTGACTTTCCATGAAGAACACTGGAATCAAGGGTCAGACTCTGGATTGTATTTCTAGGAATCCAGAGCCTTGAGAGGCAGAAGTGTGAGTTTAAGTTTGTTGTGCACGGGCTTCCAGCAGACCTATCTGTAGGGGATAGAATGGGACAGCACCAGGTAGAGGAAGAAGTGACCATAATGTGCTCACAACTGAACTCTCAGCTGGCCCTACATGAGCTGTGGAGCTGGGGTGGTCTCTGGGAGCTGTCCTGAACTGTGGTGCCCAGGCCATGTTCCTGCAGTCCCACATCAGCAGTTGTCCTTAGCTATCTCCCAGGAGACGGCACCGTCTGGAGCACAGACTGAGGGAGGCAGATGCAGTGGCCCTGAAATGGGAAACATTTGGGCAGGTCCCACAGCAGCCTCTGCAACCCTGGGGGGGCTCTAGACTTCCTAAAAATCGTGTTTACCCAAAATAACAAGAAATGGAAATGAAAACTTTCCAAACCCTCAGTGTCGTAAGTCCAGGGAACCCACAGGGGCTTGAGCACATTGAAAAGAGGAAGTCACATGTCCTGTGAGGCCACTCTGTCTATTGCTGCACCTGATCATTTGCTTGGCTACTCATCTACTGTCATCCAGTGCAGAGAAGTTCAGAGAGGAACGGAGAAGTCCCTCCCCGCCCCACTCCTCCAGCTCTCCCTCGTCCTACTTCCCTAGCGAGTCGGGCACTCTCCAGGTCTCACAGAGATGGCTTGGGTGGGACAGACGACACAGGTCCAACACTAACCGCATCTCACATGAATGAGAAGCGCTTCTTCTGTGGACAGTGGTTAACAAAAGCAACATCGGGGGCTGGGGCGATGGCTTCGTCAGTCCCCAGAACCTATGCCGAAAGATCTAGGCATGGGAGTACACGCAGAGCCTTCTCGCTGAGAATTCTCACTGCCCAGCCAGCCAAGCTGAATCAGGAAGTTCCAGGTCAGTGAGAGATCCTGTCTCAAAAAAACAATAAGGTCCCTGAGGAACCACACCCAAGGTTGACCTCTGGCTTCCACATATACTGACAAACATGTGCACAAAATGCACACGTGGATATGTACATATAAACATGTACATACATACACAAAAGCAACACACAAAGCATTCTCATTTAAAAGTATTTCTTTTGGAGCTGGTAACATAGTTCAGTGGCAAGCTCTAGATTCTATTCCCAGTAACACACACACACACACACACACACACACACACACACACACACACACACACACACGGGGCGGGGGAGGGGAGGGAAAGAGAGAGAGAATCCTTTTAATAAAATGTGACCCATTTTCATTATGCAGGGAAAGGGTTTGTGGGGCCTTCTCGGCAGCCTGTATGGCTGTCTTGGGTCCTGCCCATGCCCAGGCCCATGTGAGCCTGCTGGG